ACATTTCTAATGTTAGGTTAGGACTTCTCTAATTAAACAGTGAACTTAATAAAATACAAAAAAAAAAGTCTGTAACTGACTACTAACATTCCAAATTACCACATTTCCCCTTAAGACAGCATCTTCGTGATCTCATCTTATTTGCCATAATGCTGTTTTAATTTTATAAGAAACATAAAACATGATTATATGATATAAAAACCCAGGACAGAATTTGGGGTTTTTTTAGGTATGTCCGTATGTGAGATGTGTTTTCTACTGTGGCTTGGATACTATTACAAGTATCAATTGGAGTAAAGTACTCTTAGGAAATGAGCAAAATAACCCAGAATGATTAAATGACTGGGTCAAAGGGCACAGCCAGAAATAGAAGCGAGACGTTTCTCATTATCAGTGTCCTGCTCAAACTAATAACCCAGGTAAGGCTGCTATTCTCTACTGTTGTCATGATTCTTTAAAAGAAATGCAGTCCTGGGCCGCCTGGGTGGCTCAGATGGTTAAGCATCTGCCTTCGGCTCAGGTCACGATCCCAGGGTCCTGGGGTCGAGTGCGGGGCTCCCTGCTCCGCGGGAAGCCTGCTTCTCCCTCTCCCACTCCCCCTGCTTGTGTTCCCTCTCTCGCTGTGTCTCTCTCTGTCAAATAAATAAATAAAATTTAAAAAAAAAAAAAAAGAAAAGAAAAGAAATGCAGTCCTGAAAGTATTTGTTTCTCTTGTACTTTGTATGCCTTCCCAGTCCCTCATGTTAATATGATTGAAAGTCCTATACTGGGTCTCATACAGTTGTGTTTATCAAGCAGTGTTTGTGTATATTTTGCTGCTTCTCCTTGTATATTTTTTTCCCCTGCAGGTCTATACTGAGACCCTATACTGCCTCCCTCTGGATAGGCTAACAACGTCAAAACATCTATGCAAAGCCAAAACCGGAAGAGGCAGTCAATGATGTAATTAAAAATATTAAGTTCAAGGGCAAAAATACAGAAAAAAACAGATTTGTGCTTATTTAGGTGTAGGGGTTTGGGGAGCTGGTAAAGGGGGACTGATAGCAAAGCCATATGTGGGTTCTTTGGGGGGGAGGATGAAAATGTTCTCTTTGATTGTGGTGATTGTTGCACAACTCTGTGAATATACACACACACTAAAAACAACTAAATTGTATACCTTAAGTGGATGGCTTGTGTGGAATGTGAATTATATGTCAATAAAGCTGCTATCAAAAAAATATATGAAGTTGTAATTCCTGTCCCTGAACCAGCAGGTGAAGCTCACACAACATAGGTATTACCCGCCAAACACCATGCTGGCTCTGGACGTGGGTATCGGGCGAGATCAGCAACAATCTAAACAATCAAAACCTGCACCTATGGAATGAGAGGAGGAAAATTAGGCTGAAACAGAACACAGGAGATAAAAATATAACAATCCCCAAACACATCTTGTGCGAGAGCAAGAACAGCCACCTATTGTAAAACCACCCCAGAAAGGCAGCAGGGCAGCAGGCTTTTGTCCAGGAAAGAATCAGATCATCTCAATTAATTGGTTCCTGCTAAACTGTAAAGCTTATATTTTGAAATATAATTAAAATGATAGTAATATCCTAGAATGTAGACAAGAAAATTCAGAATCAATGCATGCGAACCAATAAACTTAGAGGGAAGCCAATACTAGGCTTTTCTTCAAAGAAAAAAAAAAGTTTCTGCAGTTGAGTCAAATTCCCTTACATAAACGCAGATCCACAGTGACAAAGGCATAGCAAGGCATCTCCTCCTGGATGTTATCCAAATGCCTTATTTCAACATAGTCAAAATGAAATTGATCATTCCTTCACACTCCACACTAACTGGCACCATCTCCCTGAGTTGTTCTTTCCCTGTATTCCCAATCTCGGCCTCTAATCCAGCCTGGCAATCTTCTTAGTCTCTCCCCGTCCCTTGTCTACACATACTATCAAGTCAGTAGGTCTATTCGCCCTGGGACGGCCTCATTTCTGGTCATTATCCCCTCTGCAGATGGCTGCAAGACTATCTTAGCAGACTGCACGCCCTACTGGCAGTTTTGCTCAGTTCAAATCCACTCCTCACAATGCTACTGGCTAGGTTCCTAATAAAATACAAACCCCACTGCATCGCTCTCTTGCTCACTATTCTTTAACGACTTCTCCCTGTTGCCACCAGGTTAAAATATAAAATACTTAATTAGCAAGTCAAATCAGACCCTCGGTGATCTAGACCGCTCAGAAATTCAGGAGCTTCTCTCTCCAAAGGACTGGGTTTTCTTTTGCCAACTCTGCTGAGGAGGAAAGCCTAACTGCCTTGCAGCCAAGAAGTAAAACATAAATACCTAAATCCAAATGATCATCCATCCTTAACAGAAATGGCATGTATCACAGCATACTCCCAGAAATTAATCTTCATCTTCCATGGTGCTTCCAAACTATCCTTTATCAGAAACTTACTCAAATTCACCTTAAACTGAAAACAGAACAGACGTGTTCATCTTCATGAAATACTTCTATGGCTCTGCATCCAGTTGTCGTAAGACATGAAGCAAGTACCCCAGTGAATGTGCAAGGAGCACACACAGACTGAGGTCCTTATTCCATCTTTTTCAGAGCACCCATAAACTGCCCACCCCCACCCGCACCCCCCTACAATCACATCACCAGAAAATTTATTTTATAATTTCAGACACTCTTGTTTGTACATTCATTTTCTTCAACAAACATGTTTCCATTCTCAAACATTCCATTCATTTTAACTACCTGTTCATTCACACAAATGGAGGCGTCATTAATACAAAAAGTCATGGGATAATTTAAATTCTCTGTCTCGGAAATACTCAGCAAAAGGTACTAAGTCTCTTAAATGCATCTACCTATAAGGTGCCAAAAATAAAGCCATAGGATTTTTTTTAAATAAAATGGAGAGAATGTTTTAAAATTAAGATCATTTTTAAAAGGAGCAAGGCAGTGAAAAATCATGCAAATTACCGTAACAGGAAATATCCTAAACAAAAGCAAATACATGTGTTTATCTTTAGACAAACAGACTGAAATAGGCTCTTAATAAATGCCCTCTTTCATACTTCTTATGAGCCACAACATTAAATTTCAGCAACTATTTTTGAGAGGCATTTACTATACATGTCATAATGTGCTTTATTATTTTAGTTAGTAACCTTTCTTTCTTTGTGCTGGTTGCCATAAGACAAGCAATCTTGTGCTTAGTTATTTTTATTTAGAAGGAATTTAAACATCTTCATTTACATTTATTTCTACAGTTTGGGTATTCACTAACTATCGAGAAGAATTTTGGCTACGGTAAGAATATATCCCAAGATAAAATGTGCCAGAAGACATTATTAAATGCAGACAGGTCTGCATTTTGCTGACGCTCATCATCAAGGTTCATTTCAAGCCTCCTTTGCTCATTGTCTAAAAACTGTTGCCTCCTCAAATGCACAGGCTGGGTATCTTCTTTTTATACCATTAGGTAAAGTAAGCATCTGTGAGCATTTATAAATCAGGCTTCCAGTTGTTCAAATCATAAAAAACAATACATTCTAGCATCGGCCCACATTTACAGCCCTCTCTAACCCCCCGAAAATGAGACGATAGCTAAATATTTCTTCAAATAACATGGACAGTGGCCTCCTGAGATTCTAGATGGTGAGACAAAAGAACATATTTAACCTCAATACCTGCTGGGTCACCTTCATTACCAAGTCACAAATATATTATGCAATGAACAAGAAATAAGAAGTAATGTAAGAAAACACAGATTTTCGTTAATCTCGAGGACTCCACCATAAAACACCCTAACAGTCGGTATGCATAGGAACAAGTTAAAATAAGTCTATTCCCAAAAGGACCTTTAAAAAAAATGTTGATACTTTTTAGTGAAAACAATTTCAAACTTAGAGATACTTCGTAAGAATAGGAATAGTTCTAAGAAAGCTACTGTACCCTCTCTCCAGATCCACATAATTGTGAACATTCTGAGTTTCAAGGGAAAAGAATTCTAAGAAAGGACTCAAAAAGGTCATCACAGTGAATTTCATAACGGTGAAGTTAGGGTGTACGGTTAGCAGTCAGTGTTTACCCAGAATTTGCACACACAGCACCGCGTAGGTGACAGTACGGAGTAACGTACTCTCTGCCCTTGAGCAGTCATGTGATCGGCCGGGACGGGAGAAGACATGCCTCAGATGACATTGGGTCACGAGTTCACAGGCATATCAGAAATAATAACAGTCAAAATGTTGTGCGAATGACATGGCAGAGAGAAGTAAGCAGATGTGAAACTGTGGTGGACAAGGGAACTGCACCATTAAAATCAGTTTAAAGGAGAAAGTCTGCGATTGGCAACACTAGGTCATTCTACACAAAGATGGTAACTTCAAGGGCACTGAAGCAGTTGTACTTGGGGGCAGAGAAAGGGTACAGTCATGCTACGTGAGATTCCTCACACATTTTAGTAAAGGAAAGATTTTGTGTTAGCACATTTCGTGGAGGAGAAGAATTTGAACCTCAGACTGCATCTACAGTCATAGCTATCAAGCTAAAGACATAAAAGTAATACCTCCAAGCCTAATGCTCTTAGTTGTAAATTAAGCCACAGAGCCTTTGCAGCTTTTATATTAAGTATGTTAAAATAAATGGAGAAAGGAGCAACTTCATATTAAAAAGAAATGCCCTTATAACTTAGGATTCAATAAAGCTAACTGTATAGGGCTTAAAATGACAAAAACAGAACAGCTATGAGCCTGTAAGTCTAAATAAACAAGTATTACTTCCATAAAACAAGGTGTTTTTCCTCTCTTATTAAGTAAAATATTTTAGAGATCGTATTTCCCGAAACCAATGATTCACAGGGGAGAGCATAGATCTCATAACCGAATGAGGTAACAATCTCACCCTTTAATGGTAATAAATTTGCATGTCGCTGGATCAAAAGAGCACAGCGGAAATAAAATTGCTGGGTGCAGGACCCCGCGCACTTGCCTGCAGCTGCCGGGTGAGCTCCCTGGCCAGCACCGTGTCCTGAAGCGCATTCTCCCGCTGAGAGGCGTCCGCAAGCACGTTAACTGTGGTTTCAGCTTCTTGTATCCACTTTAGGAAGTTCTCCAGATCCCGGTGAGAGGCCTGCACGGTCCTCAACTCTGCTTCCAGGGCACTCTGTCTGTCAGCAATGCTGCAAGGAACAACATGATAGGCACGTCTCTATGACTTACGGTGGGACAGCCCACATCACGCACGCCCTAACAAACAAATTAACAGACAGCCTCCCAGGAACTTTTATTTATTTAAGGACCTAATGTAACTGGGAAATTTATTTATACATGTGTCTTGAATAATCCTTCATGGGAGGAGTAATGTGAATAGCGAGAAGAGGGAGAGGGGGAGAGACATCTAAATAGTAACAAAATTACATTCATATGATAAAATAATTATGACTCCATTTTGCAACTCCTAATTGTATATTAAGTTATCCCCCAATGTTTTATTGCAATACCTTAGTATAATTGAAGGTATTGAATTACCTTCTGCCATTTTACCTTCTGAGGAAATACCAGTAAATATTCAGTAGGAGGAGGAAATACCAGTAAATATTCATGCAATGAGTGACTAAATGAATTCTAAGAAGCAGTAAAATCAGAAGAAATACTTAAGATAAAATGAAAATAATTTAAAGGGCTTAATTTACCTATTTTAAAACAACTCAGATCAATACAAATTGGTTCTTTAAGCTGATTTAATAATATTAAATTTGAAAATTTTGACTGGTAAGTCAAGCTTTTAGAAACCCTTCATTAAATCTACATCAAAATTAATACACAGAAATATGGAGTTGCAGGATTTAAGAGATAGATATATCTGTAAATTCAATCTTTAAAACTTTATATACCTCAAAGCTTCATAAGAAGAAAACAAGTAATTTTAGGTGCACCTGGGTGGCTCAGTCAGTTAAGCGTATGACTTGGTTTCAGCTCAGGTCATGATCTCAGTGTCGTGAGATCAAGCCTTGCACAGGGCTCCGCGCTGGGCATGGAGCCAGTTAAAATTCTCTCTCTCTCCCTCTACCCCTCCCTGTGCCACTCTCTCTCTCTCTCTCTCAAAAAAAAAAAAAAAATTAAAAATGGATACTAACAATTACACCCTAGGTGTTTAAACCCAAGGGAACTGAAAACATATATTTACACAAAAACTTGTGTACAAGTTTTCAGATAGCATCATTATTTATTATAGCCAAATAATACAATCAACCCAAAGTCCATCGATAAAGAAATGGATAGATAAAATGTAGTATACCCATACTTGAATTATTCAACCATAAAAAGGAATAAAGTACTACTTGTTGTAACATGTATGAACCTTGAAAACATGCTGAGTGAGCGAAGCCGGACACAAAAGACCACATATTGTGTGATTCCATTCATATTTATATGAAATGTCCAAAAGAGGTAAGTCTACACAGAGAGAAAAGAGATTAGTTGTTGCCTAGGACTGGAGTGGAAGGCAATGGGGACTGACTGCTAATTGGGTATTCGGTTTCTTCTTGGGATGATACAATGTTCTGAAATTTAGAGTATTATGATGGTTGCACAGCATGGTGAATATACTAAACTCTGAGCTGTACACTTTAATAGGGTTAATTTCATGCTATCTGAACTACATCACAATAAAAAGTCAGCATGTGTAATATCTCATTTATATATATTTTCTATTTCATCCACTCATCTATCCGTACATCATGCATCCATCTACCTGTCCTATATACAGGACTGTGTATACACAGATAAAAGGATAAATGTCAGGAATGTTAATATTAAAAGTTATTTCTAGGTGCTGGGATTTAAGGTGGTTTACTTTCCTGTTTGTACTTTTTCTGTATTCTTTGCATTTATAATGAACACGTATTTTCTTCACACAACAATAAACAAATTCTTTAAATAAATAGGTAAAAGATTTAAACAGAGATCATAGAAGATATATGGGTGGCAAATAAGCACACGAAAAGATACTCACATCATTAATCATCAGAGAAATGTAAATTCAAACCACAGTGAGATATCACTACATTAGAATAGCTTTAAGAAAATGACTATACCAAGTGCTTGGTGAGAATGCAGAGTAACTGCAACTCTCATACATTCCAAGTGGGAGTGTAAAATGGTACCACCATTAAAAAACAGTTTGGCAGATTTTTTTAATAAAGTTTACCATGTACTCAAGAACAATCCAGCAATCCTACTCCTAAGTATTTACTCAAAAGAAATGAAAACATACACTCACACAAAACCCATATGCAAAACTTTATTCATAATGGCCCCAAACAGGTAATAACCCAAATGTCATCAAGCGGTAAACAGATAAACTGTGGTATATGCATACAATGGGATACTACTCAATAAACAACTGACGGATGCAACAACAGGGATGGAATCTCAAATGCATTCTGCTAAGAGAAAAAAGTCAGACACAAAAGCTGTTTCTATTCTTCAGCCATTCTAGAAAGTCATCAACCTCATCTGAGCATTCATCTACTAAAAAAAACTCCAATAGGGGCGCCTGGGTGGCTCAGTTGGTT